AAACTAATTTGCATACGAACAAAGATTGTGACTTAATAACCTGCATGCATGTAATTACTTTTTAATTGTCGAGTTATTAAACCCCGGCAACAATTACCCACTATTACTCTATTAAGGCCACATTATCGTCGGCCGAGCTTTTACTATGCCTCTTATTTTTCTTAGTGTTGCGCACAAGCCTCTAATGTTGCATACTCGGCATCCGCTACACTAAATCATGGGCGAATTAAGGGTGGCCATTGCATGGCTGTTGGTCGGCCGTTCACAAAGCGGCCTTGTATTTAAATTAAGAAGTATGCGATGTCAACACATGCACAACATGATAGATAGATAGAGAGGGAAGTGGGGAGTGTGGGAAAAATAGAGTGGGGAGAGTTACGTGAATTAAGGATTTAAGTGTGTTCCCTACTGATATGCGCAAGGCGCGTGTCTTCATAGAGACGATATATTGCGAATAGTTCTTGTATAGTTGATGTGATGTCGCCGTTCTTTGTATAGCTGTGTTGTCACCAGGCCTTGTATAGATGACATATGTTGTGCTCACCACAGCACTGTCAACGTCTGTACCCTCAGCCAGGCAACACTGTCAACGTCTGTACCCTCAGCCAGGCAACACTGTCAACATCTGTACCCCTGTCTCTTATACACATCTAGATGTGTATAAGAGACAGAAACAAACGTTTGTCACAAGCACCAAACATGCACTTGTCTCTTGCACCAAACAAACGTTTGTCACAAGCACCAAACATGCACTTGTCTCTTGCACCAAACAAACGTTTGTCACAAGCACCAAACATGCACTTGTCTCTTGCACCAAACAAACGTTTGTCACAAGCACCNATTCTCTCTCCGTATTTCAGTGACAACGCTATATTCTCTCTCCGTATCCGTATTTCAATGACAACGCCATTCTCTCTCCGTATTTCAATGACAACGCCATTCTCTCCGTATTTCAGTGACAACTCCATTCTCTCTCCGTATTTCAGCTCTCGCCACCCGGATGTCAACCGTGCTAGATATGCGAAGGGTAATTCAGCTGATGTGTTAACTCAATTTCCAGAGGTTCAGTGCGCGGATCCTTCCCTCGCTGACTAGCTTTCTGTTGTAGCTGCAGACGAGGATGTTCTACTGAATATTGATGAAACAAAGTGAATCATGCATGAGAAATTGGTGCAGAACTTGAAAACGAGGTGTACTTTTAATTGAATAATATAGAGTTAAAGTAGTTGTAAGGCTATTATTAATAATAAGGCTTTATGATTCAGATAATTCCCTGAGCCAGTTTCTACAATAGTATTTGATTCAATTTTTGATGATGAGAAACGTATCGCTTGACACTCATTTTTATTCAAGAGTCGAGCGAAGACCTCATCACCGCGTCTCATTACACGCTATTCACGACACCGAGGGTCGATTTTGCCTTTTCATTGCGACTAGTTTGATGTTTCATCATAAACTATTAAGATCCTACATTCTGCTCAGCTAGTAATGCTGGTCAGTTCACGCTCTTCACGCTGGTCAGTTCACGCTCTTCATGCTGTCAGTTCACGCTCTTCATGCTGGTCAGTTCACGCTCTTCATGCTGGTCAGTTCACGCTCTTCATGCTGGTCAGTTCAAGCTCTTCATGCTGGTCAGTTCACGCTCTTCATGCTGGTCAGTTCACGCTCTTCATGCTGGTCAGTTCACGCTCTTCATGCTGGTCAGTTCAAGCTCTTCATTCCTTAGCATTTCAATCTCTTTATTTTATCTTAAATAAACTCCTGATCAAAATATCGCTTAGTGATTAAAACATTACAAATAATCGACGGTAAAAAATTAAATTTTCTTAATCATCATTGTCGACCCTAAAAATATTCACAATAATAAAAGTTGAATAATAATTATTTTTTATATAAAAATCCTCATCAACCGTCGTCCATTCATTGCAGGATATCCACGATCTCTGCTATTTTACGCACGATCGGCATTTTCACTACAATTCTGATTCATAACCGAAATAAAATATAATTAATATTTTATTCGTGTACTATGAATTGCTTTTTTGGACAATTTTATTGTACATTAATACAATTAATGAGCTTTATAAGGGTAACGAAGGGTAAAATAATTTTATTATAATTTATTGTATACATCGAAACAGCCATGTTTTTTTCTATATGCCAGCTTTCCTACATGGTATTTGTTATGCCATTCATCGTGCAGAATATTCTTATGAATAACTATCCTCTTTAATATTACCTATTAAGGTAATATTATCTCTTATATATTTATCACTATAATTTTTTTATAATTAATTTATAATAATAAATACATTTTCATCATCTAAAATAATACTTATTCTCAATGAGTCTATTTTCTGGCCTGGAATCTAGGCAGGACTCATTTTTTGCGTATATTTGGAGCCGCGGAACTGCCCGCCGCCGCCACCGCTTTTTTGTGCCTCGACTGCTCGTTAAGAATCAATTGCCCTGCGCTGGTGTGTCATGCTGGCGTGTATCGTGCGTCATGCTGGTCTGCCGTGTCATGCTGGCCTATGTCATGCTGGTGTGTATCGTGCGTCATGCTGGTCTGCCGTGTCATGCTGCCCTGTCCCAGTCTGCCCTGTCCCAGCCTACCATGTCCCAGCCTGCCCTGTCCCAGCCTGCCCTGTCCCAGCCTGCCCTGTCCCAGCCTGCTCTGTCCCAGCCTGCCCTGTCCCAGCCTACCCTGTCCCAGCCTGGTCCCCCTCTCCCTCTCGTCTCACCCTTGCCACCCGCTTATCCGTGCTGTCCCGCATCTGTCCCGTCATGCTGCTCCCATGTCCCGTCATGCTGTCCCGCATCTGTCCCGTCATGCTGCTCCCATGTCCCGTCATGCTGCTCCCCGCCGTTCGATTCCGTCTCGTCTTGTCCACGTCCTCTTCATCACCACCCATTTATTCCGTCCCTCTTATTTCGTTCCCTTCCCCTGTTCATATCCTCTACTGCCCTTCCATTCTATCTCTCTTTCTCCCATTCATTGTGTAAATTTTTTCATCCCGTACTTCAATTTCGCCTTTTTTCGTCTGCTCCAGCCTTCTTCTTACCTTACCTTCCAGCCTTTCTTACGATCTCGTTATTGTCACCTACTTAATTGTTTCTTCCTTTACTTTTTATTTCCTTCTTCCCTAACGTTCTCTTTTTTTCCCCATTTCTCCTCCAAGCAACATTTCCCTCATTCTATAATGCCATCAATTTTGTCCGCTGTAATTAACCTCAGATTCTGTAATTATGAACCTGCCAATATTGATGCTAAGAAATAACATTTGTGCGCATCAAGCAGCACGAGGGCACATCAAGCAGCACGAGGGCGCATCAAGCAACACGAGGATGCATCAAGCAGCACGAGGGCACATCAAGCAGCACGAGGATGCATCAAGCAGCACGAGGGTACATCAAGCAGCACGAGGATGCATCAAGCATCAAGCAACAGAGCCCTGTTGATGACAACACTCCACGTCTGCATCGCATACACTAAGACCTTCTCTTGCACTTAATTCTTACCGTCATTAATGTTCGTTCTTTGGTCCCCTTATACTACGACTTTTTTTATTCCTTCTTCCAATGTGAGGATCCATTGTTGGCTTAACGGCATATTTTCTGCTTTTAAAATTAATTTTTGTTTGTATTTATTTATAGAAATGTCCACAGTAAGTTAAATGAAGCATCTATTGCTTTTAAAAACTCTTCTAATTGTATTTTATAAAGCAAAATGATGGGAAATATCGAGGAATAATTGAAGCGTCTAATGGCAAGGTCATGACTGGAATTATAGAGTAATTAGGGTTTTAGAAGAGAGGTAATTTATTCTCAAATGTTATCATAGGGAATTAAATACTGAGCCGTGAATCGCTGAGATCGTCGGCCAGATAATTACATGAAAAAAACTCACGTGCCGCATGCTATATTCCTACGAGGAACCAATGAATGTTATTGCATGGAAGTGCCTAATGCTATTCCTACGAGGAACCAATGAATGTTATTGCATGGTGAGCCTAATGCTATTCCTACGAGGAACCAATGAATGTTATTGCATGGAAGTGCCTAATGCTATTCCTACGAGGAACCAATGAATGTTATTGCACGCTGAGCTGAATGTCACGGCTGCTGGGCTGCCTTCAGTTTGCCTGCATCGACTCGCGTGTCCAGTTTTTGTTATTATTTGTTTCTATCATTTTTTTATTTAGTCAATTTTTGCTATTTCATTATAATCATTTCGTATTTTTAGGAATTTATTACTTAGTGTTTTCTTTATTTTGCATTCAGTTTCTTATAACCGTATTAACCGTATAATTTTTCTAGTGAGAGATCTTGTCACTATAAAATTAATGCATTTGATTTGTTCACTATATATTTTTTTCGTATATTACGTAATTATATTGAAATTATAGGAGCATTTCTTTGACGATTTCAGCAATTTTTGGCGCTGAATCTAATTTTTATTAGATTAGATTATTTTTCTTTATTATATTATATTTTATTTTTATTAGATTAAATATTTATAGGATATATTTAATTATAATAATAATTATAAAAATATAATTATTATTTTAATTATATTTTAATTAGATTATTTTTCTAGTCCGAGCTTCAACCTTTCCGTCACCTTTTAATTGTTTTCTCGTGCATGGGCGGTGTTCTTTTTCAGTCGCGGGATCATCAATAGTTTAGTGGTCAGCGTCCTGTATTAGTTGACCTTAACTAGTTCCTGCCTGTATTATGTGTTAATACAGGCTTCGAATTCTGCATCTTTCCTTTGCTATGAAAAATATTAGTATTTTTTAAGAAGGGACATCACTTCTTATGCGGGATGGGGTTATCTTATCTTTTCACTTGTTATCTTATCACTTATCACGGGTTATCTTATCACTTATTAACACTTCTTATTCTTATTACTTAAGTTGTGTAATTAATTATACACAAGTTAACATGAATCAATTAGTTGAAAAAGTAACGTTTGTTACCTATTTTCTTGTGTGCAGAGGCTGCAGCATGCAGCGGAGGACCATGCTGCAGACCAGAGCAGAGTGCTGCACTGCAGCAGCACAGCGTGCAGCACATGCAGCACGCTGTAGCTCACGCTGCAGCACGCATCAGCTCAGCTCTTCATGCTAGAGCAGCAGCACTCACGGGTAAGTATAAGCTCTACATTCTTCTCAACATTTCTTATTAGCTTGATTTATATTTGATTATTTCCTTATATATTCGCAGCATTTTCTAGGAAATTTCTTCAGTATTTGTTGTAAATTTACTCATATCAGGTTCACTTAGCTTTTCAAAGTATTAACCTGTTCTCACGTGACTCATTTCCTTCCCTTGACTCACATTCATTAACGGTGTGGAATCGTGGGAACATACCTACATTAAATAGGGCTTTGCTTATACTTTATACATATTCTCATCCTATATGTAAATTAAAGCCGTTCATACCGCGGCCTCGACACCGGCCGTAGATACGACGCGTCTGAACTGCCCGAGACGCACGTCTAATTTGTTACTCATGCATGCCGTAATTACGCAACGCAATTTAATCAATTTTATTAATATATTAATGGAACTGTCGATCAATCTCTGTAAAAATGGCAGCCTGGCGTTAAATGCCAAAACAACGCAGCTTAAATTAGCTTCCTCGTTAAGACACTACTTCGGAAATTATTTAAATTCAGAGTTCAGTATGCATGTTCTTTTTCTTCCTGTTTATTATTAATAAAACTTAGGACGTAGCATTTGAGTTATCATTAAAATAGATTTCTTGATCAAGCTTCGTAAACAGTTCGGTCTCACGTAATTTATGTATCGATACTTCGGTATGAATTTCACCTACACTTTTATCTCGTTAATCCTTTTTCTTGATAGTAAATTTACAGAGGAACTTCAAGAGAATTTAGCTCGCCGCTATTGTAACCGGAGCGTTCGCGGGTCTGCTGCTATTATAATAATGTTTGTATCTACTCAATAATGCTGCATGAAAATACTGCTCGTATCAATAGAATAACATACAGTCATACACTGTGATCAGATCTATTGATTGCTGCTGCTATAGTTCTGAACTGTTCAGTGGCTGGGAGACTTGCGACATGTTGGCCGTGCTGTCAATGCTGACGCTGTTAGTGCTGACAAATGGTGCTATCATTAGAACTTATGCTGCTAGCACTAAATAAAAGTTGCAAATGGTGTCACCGTATGAAGAAATTTGACGCTCTCATCACATTGAGTCATTTAATGCTGTATACCGTATGAAGCCATTTAATGATGCTACCGCATTAGGTCAGTCAATGCTCCCTCCGTATTAAATACTTTAATGATTTCTCCGTATTAAATCATGTTAATGCTATCACTTTATTAAGTTCTTTAATGATGTCTCCGTATTAAATCATGGTAATGCTATCACTTTATTAAGTACTATACCTACGTTATTGAAGTCTCCGTGTTAAGTCATTTGATTTCTTTTAAATTCATGGTGAACCTGCGATTCAAACAAACTAATGATATACGTACTTACATACTTTCTAAATTATTGAAGTAATTTAATGACGTCTGCGTTCATCTCTCGCTTAATTAGGGTTCACTAATCAGCTGCAACTGAACTGCAGTTCAATGCACCACAGTTGCGTTTGGGAGGAATTAACCTCGTGCATTGATTATATAGTCTGTCTCATGACCATAGTGTGTGTGGTGCCGGGGACGTTATGGTGCCGGGGACGTTATGGTGCTGGGGACGTTATGGTGCTGGTGACGTTATGGTGCTGGGGACGTTGTGGTGCTGGTGACGTTATGGTGCTGGGGACGTTATGGTGCCGGGGACGTTATGGTGCTGGGGACGTTATGGTGCTGGGGACGTTATGGTGCTAGTGACGTTATGGTGCTAGTGACGTTATGGTGCTGGTGACGTTATGGTGCTGGTGACGTTATGGTGCTGGGGACGTTATGGTGCTAGTGACGTTATGGTGCTGGGGACGTTATTGTGCTAGTGACGTTATGGTGCTGGGGACGTTATGGTGCTGGTGACGTTATGGTGCTGAGGACGTTATGGTGCCGGGGAAGTTATGGTGCTAGTGACGTTATGGTGCTGGTGACGTTATGGTGCTGGTGACGTTATGGTGCTGGGGACGTTATGGTGCTGGGGACGTTATGGTGCTGGTGACGTTATGGTGCTGGGGACGTTATGGTGCTGGTCTACACTCATCTGTTCTTCAGAGGTTCGTCTTACCCAGTGAAAAAGAACTGGAAGTTTCCTCTTCGAGAACTTCGATTTTCATTTCCCCTTGAGAACTATTTTGCGCATGACTTTGGTTCGAAGACATATATTTATATAACTGTTGTCTGCGATGTGCATTGTGCTATTTATCTGGCTATTGTTGCGTAAGTTTTTAATTGAAAACATCTTCATACATAACACGCATTTTAGAATTAAATTTAAATTCGAGTCGCGTTTGCACAAAATTGCTCAAAATTCTTCCAACCTGGAAGGTAAATTGAAGTCACTTTTCTATATTTTAAGGCGGAATTCTTGACACTGATGAAATACAATCACTGAACGGCTATACAACTCTGGGATATCGAAAATTTCCCGCTGAACCGAAATTTTAAAGTACCGGCCATCATGACAAATATCTGGGTTGCAGTGAAATGAACATAAATGAACCGCAGTGAAATGAACATAAATGAACCTCCGTGGAGTTGTTTGAGTTCCTCGAGAAAGCAAAGGGAAAATCAAGTTTCAAAATACTGAAGTACACTTAAATGGGCTGCATCTTCAAGCAAATCAAAGAAAACAATGACCAACGGTGGCTCCGTGCAAATTAATGAGCGCCAATGTTGCCACTTAGAACTTCGGATGGAGCGAGAGTCTTGTAAATATGATACATGAACTTCTACACTATGTCAACCATGTGTCTATAAACTGAAAACTTACGAACATAGCTCTCATATTTCTCAAAAACCCTGATTTTTATATAATTTTTTCATACTTATCTATTTATTTTTTAAATATAAGTCTTTTTGAACAGGTTTTAGCATCCCTGTAACGTCAATTCGATTACAGGTACCGTATACGAAATTGGGTGAATTAATTAATGTGAAGTAATGCTATCCACAGTAGGTATACATCCTGTTTAATAATGCTGGTCATTTACTCAATACACGCAATCAGATCTCTTACTTGCTTCCATCAACAATTTACTTCAAATCTACAACAATGAAAATGATAAAATGAAAATTGTTGTCATAATAAATGCGAGAATTATTTTTACATCTTCCTAATATTTTTCTTGCTTCTCAATTGTTATTTATTGATGCATCTGATAATACAAGGTAATTTGAATGTCTGAGCCGAGGCTTTGCACATCAATTATCCCTGCCAGCATGGTTAAATTATCTTAGTGAAGCTATGATAGCAATTATTACTAATAATTGTTGTATTTTATAAACGTTGTTAATGTCCTCCTGGGTTACTCTATATTGCCCCTGAGTTGTTCATGACTCTTTACGTGTGCATTTTTTGGTAATCGCTGAATTTCTAGGCGCAAGTTATTCATAAAGAATAAAAAGCTCATGTGGGCGCAAAAGGATCTCAAATTATATAAAAAAATGTGAACATTAATTTCTAGTTTACTATTTAGGAAGCATTTATTGATTCTTCATCAGCAGTATTTTTTCAGTTAATATTGAGTTGATTATATTATTTAACGACTACGCTACGCTTACGTCGGTCGCATATATAAGGGATTTCCAACCGACAAGTGAGGAGATTATAATTGTTAATATTTAAAATAATATTGCATTGTTGTTATTAGTCTTTAATTTGATTCATTGAGAAAATTAATTCGTACAAAGAAGTGGATTTTATTTGTGTTCTTGTTACGATTTCACTCTTGTTCTATCTTTTCCGGCTGCCAATAACGCTTATTATTAAGTCCCTTATTTAAAAAATCGATAACATACGTAGGTAGATATTTACTTGGCAAACTGAACCTGTCGGTTTGATCGTATCTTTATTCAACAATAAATTTTATATGCATGCTCATGAGCTTGACAGTAAATTTTCATTAGGTATTAAAATAGAAATAAATATTTCAAACGACATCCCATATAGGTATTGTAATGAAGAGCCTCTCTAACTCCCTGCCTTTATTCTTCCCCAATAAACCAGTTGCAAGAGCCGCAAAAAACACCGCCGCTATCACCCCTGCACCGCTGCCAAGACAGGTCTATGTTGCTGTCTCTATTTTAGCTCGGAATTTTATCGGCCGTCTGAGTTGATTTCTTACTCGTCCCTTAGGCATAAAATGGCCATCAGAACCTTCTTCTTGCCTGCTTATATATATCTTTTTATGTGCTTATCGCCCGGCAGTCGATGTATGTTGCAATTGCATGACTGTCAACATTTTATGGCCATCGAGACCGAGTGACTGTCGGATCTTTTTTGCGGCCTGAATCGTAAAGCTGCAGTATTTTTCGGCTCTCAGAACTCCTTCAGCCGCTCATCTTTGCCTATTGTAATTTCTCTGTCAATATTTACTCGTCCATCTGAACTTGACAATTCCAATTCTCTGTCGCATGCCAGCTAGAGTCCGTAATCATCTTTTTAGCGCTCGACTCAATAGCAGTTAAACTTAATACTGCCAACATTCCTCCCTTTAAAATCTGCCTGAGAATTTGACGTCTATACTGTATAAATAATTTCACTGATTACGTGATCGCCGATAGCGCTGATTTGTTATGCATCGGCGCGGCATGCTTCTACTGACATAGCAACGGCTCCAGTCTCTAACAAACATATGATTTAACATTGAAATGTTTCATCGCTCTAGGAAAACGAAAATTTTCACATGCAAATAAAATCTTGCTACTTCGTTGCATGGAATATTCACTATTTCTTACAAACTATAGTATCCTGTACATTTCTACTAAAGTTTAAGGTTTAGAAGTCAATTTTTCGCGCAGATAAAAATTTTCATTCATATTAGCCCCAAGGCGATGTTTTGAAAGCAAGTTTACCTTCGGATGAAAGCGTAAGAATTTTAATTCACACAGCAATGTTTGGAAGAAGTTTTCAGGCGCAGATGAACACACATAAGTTTTTACTGTAGTGTGATGTTTATATAGACGTTTTATCGCTGATAATAACTGT